TTTTAGAGCGAAAAACAACATAAAACATTATTATCATCCTGTGCAAAATAAATGTGGAATGAAACAATGTCATATCTCATGATATAATGTTAAAGTTTTCTACGTCACAGTTATAAGAAAGAAGTGTGCTCATCATCCCGTGCAAAATCAATGTTGAATGAAAAAATACCTGTAGTGACGACTTACTTTAACTACTTTGTTCTGCTTATTCTGCGGAAAACATTAAACTAAAACTGTTAACCTTCCGAAGTCAACGTTTATCTTTCTTTGTGTATGCAAAATTTAGTTGATTTATTTTAAATAAAAACTAAACTGATCTCACTAATAGATGCTTGATCGATATACTTATTATAATTGTGTGCGTTCATTAAAACCTTAAGGTAATTCTCAAAATTCTGAAGGTATTCTCAAAATTCAAAAATCTTCACACATAACTAATCCCACTAAATTTAATGCATCTCCTAGAGAATCCAAATAACATCAAATACTTCATCATGTCATTTGTGCGCAGCAGGAAATGTAAGAGACAATGTCTAGATACACTCGCTTGAGTATCGCCATAGAATATCGGGTTTGATCCGGTTAAACGATGCAATACCCGATGCATTTAGTAAGAAATTCTGTTTGGTATAACACAATATGAACTAGATACATTTAGCGCTTAAGCGTACGATTCATTTAGCTGTTTAAAGGAAAGAATCACTAGATACAAGCAACGTAATGAGCTTTCAACCGAGACGGAGAAAAGCGAGAAAAAAAAGCAGAGCTCGTGCAGAGATTCGAGCTCTGTATCTGCAGAGATCGGTAGCCTTCTGTATACACCATTGTACAACCACACGAGCTTACACAAATACATATAAATTTTTCATTCACTTTCTTGTTATGAATAATAATAATAATAACAATAATTAGCGTTTCTCAAGATGATGGAAGCATTGCTTAAATTTGAGTCTCGAACATGAAATGTTGGAAATTTAGTTTTCTAAAATTTCTCTGCTCCAGTCGGATCTCTAGAAGTCAGGCAAAAAAACGTTCTTTTGTATTTTTTATCATGAAGATTTAGCTGTACAGAGCTGAAACTAGCAGATAAAAGTTAGGAAATTAAATATGCTACATTTCATGTTCGAAACTCAAGTTTGAGAAGCACTTCCTTTGTAGTGAAAAATTGAAAATTAGCTTTAAAAAAGTGTTGTTTCTGGTTTTCACTATGTAGATATTTTCCAAAATTGAGCCTAGAAGTAGTATTTCTGGCTGCATCGGGCGATACCCGATTCATTTTCCATGCTTGGGTGCAGTATTAAATGGTTTAGAAAAGACCTGTACACTTCTGCAATAGTGGTGTGTGCTTATCTTTTTTTACAGATTTACAAAATGGCTTCAGTCAATTCAAACATCTCAGAGTACCAAAGCACGCCTCAGCCAGGGGAAAACCGTAAAGTCGAAGAACCACGTGGTGAAAAGTCTCAAATGGATGTTAATGAGGCAGAAAATAAACTAGACACAAAAACTGGAACACAAAACCCAGTTGGCTGTTTAAAAACATGCGATTATCCTAAGACAGTTTACTTTGCTGCTGCATTATTTAGTTATCAGGAACTAGCTGGGAATATTCTGCTTGGAGAGGCGATTGAAAGGGTTTCCCATGGCCGTTATAAAATCATATTACCTCAAAATGGAGAACAAGATTCTAATCGCGGCAAGGATATTCGTGATGACGATTTGGCTTCTGTGGCTAAATGCGACATGATCTTGCTCAATTATGATGGCACTGAAATATGCGCTGGTTGTGTTGTAGAACAGCAGTTTGCTCGTGATTTGGATAAACCAGCGGTTGTAGTTCG